GCTTCCCTTTCAAGTAGGGCTGCCCTTACTGCCCGTAAAACTAATGACCAGTCTCACAAATCAGATAAGAAAAAGGTAAATTAATGCAAATGAACTATGGTCTCTCATGGGTTAGAGTCATCAAATTGACTGTTTGCAGCTCCCCCTGACAATGTAGTAGTAATGATGAAAATGTCTTTTAATAATGAAACTTAGACTCTTGTTTTCCTGGATCAGGAGAAGGCAGTTGACAATGGAATTCAGCGCTGTGCTTGTAGTATTAGTTTTGAAATTGTATCTTTCAAAAACAGCCCTTTATCAGGACCAATGACAATCCAGTATTAATTCAAACAACGGTATCAGCAAATGTCCTATTCGCATCTTAATATGAGTAAGTAATAGTGAATTGAGTTACTGGATGGAACTGGTATCTCATTTCTCTAGCACGGTTCACTTGCTATTCCTGCCCCTTGTCTCTCCATCATAGATGTTATAGCCCTGATGTTTCAGTGGGCGTGGTTGGTGGGAGGTGGGGGGCTATTTTGCTGTTTCATCAAGATGATCTTGTCTCCCACTGAGAGGGGGTTCTGTTGGGGTCAGCTCATTTCCACAACATTTCATCTCCTTAACTATTCTGACCCTTGGGCTCTGGGACAGCTGCGGTTTTGAGCACATGCACCCCCCCCCCACCCCCAACCTCCGCCCTCTCTATAAGCATACGAAGAGTAGAGTACAAGACCCCCCCTTTGGCTTCTTATGTTTTTTTCCTTGGCTGAGAAAATTCACTTCCCCGTTAGTTAATGTTATACTTCAATTATCACAGTTAATAAATGGATTTCTGTATCACCGGTGCTCAATACTGCCTGGGAACATAAATTTTTTATACGGAATTGATCCATGCCAAATTCCCCTCGCTGAATCAATCATGGCCGATCGATGCCGCGCAATGTGCCACTGGTCCTTGGGTCTGGACATGTATTTTATCAAAGACATTAACTTTCCTCTCCCATTCCTTCCCGTTTCTCAATGGTCACACCATGGGCGAGGAAACACATTAGCAATGCGTCCCGAGATGCCGGCTGATGGTAATTTATTGTTGACCGGAGGAAACATGCTAACAGGTATGCGAACTTTCACCTGCGAGTGGATGCACACTTTCATTTGTGACACCCCCCCCCTTTTTGCTTACTGTGTGTGACAGGCAATTTTTTCCTGCCAATGGATTCATTTGAGCATCACCTCATATAATCCCAATGGCAATTACAATACTGCCTGTGTCATTAGGTAGTTTTATAGGGAGAATGACCAAGCTTTCTTGTAAATACCACTTTTTTCTGTTCCCCTTCCAACAGCACAGGTCTCCCTGGCCGGTCCTTTGTACTCCTTTATCTCGGAAATATATGATCTCTCTCTGATGAGCCCTTTTACTCACTGTATTAGAAAAATCCTCCATTTTTAGAACCACTGGCGCGGTTTTATTAAAAATAAAAAAATATATAGCCATAAATCATATAAATGGCTTGAGCAGCCAACATCTGTTTGACTTTTGTCGGACTTTAGGCCACCTTTGAGAGGGGCTCGTAAAAGCCACAGAGCTGTGCCCCCTGTCATCGCAGGCGGAGGGGCGGAGGAGACGTGTCACCCTGATAAAATTTAAAATCCGTTTTGAGGCCCCGGTCTGAGAGGCTGTCACTCTCTCTCCTCCCCAGGCAGATTTAATGCACAGCACATCTCCCATGTGTGATAACTCACCTTGCAACACAGCCAAGCCTTGGGAATGTGAGTGTGACTGTGTGTTTGTGTTTGTTTTTTGTTTGTGTGTGTGTGAGTGTGTGTGTGTGTGTGTGTGTGTGTGTGTGTGTGCGTGTGTATATAGCACATAGTAGGATTCTCCCTAGCTGATACTCTAGCTTGTTTTGAAGGGCTTTGCCACTCCAGATTAGCCATTAATATTTCAGTTTACTCTGGTTCCACATGTGTTCAGAGAACTCTTCTTGAAAATGAATGCATTGTAAGAGTAATCATTTATTTCCATCATCTACTTCAAAAAAATCGATGTTGGTGTTTTTGATCTCTCTATCTATGTATTGCAATATTCGGATGTCCCAAAAGGCTTACAGAAGTGACTTTCAGATATTCACCTGTTAAGTCAGCATTTGGATTGGTGTAGAATTTGCCAGGCTTGAGCTCAGTTATTTCATCTCATTCAGATGCAGTCATTGTTTATAGATCTCTGTATCTGGGTCTCAACACTCTGAAGGATTATGTGTCGGAATATAATGGCGATTGCTGTTGTTTTATACACTCTGGTAAGGTTATTCAGCTCATTCGAGGAAAATATCAATTGTGTCAATGGTCCAATTGATTTCAGAATTATTTCAGCCAGGACGTTGTTGTCACATCTGCCCACCAATAGAGGCAGTATTTATCTCCCGTCATCAATAATAACATCTTACTGCCTTTGGTAAACAATTTAGAGAACAAGAATGAAAAATTTACAGCTGTCTTTGTGACAAGATACTATGTGACTCATGATACCTTTTTGGAAGATTGGCTTTCGGCAGTCAGGTTTATTTAGTGGTGAGCGGAAATTGAGAGGGTATTTCTCACCGGTTTAACATAATGAGAAGAGTCTTGCTCAAAGTATTGGATCTCAGCGGAAGGAGTGGGCGGAAGATAGTGACAGCTGAGGAAAAGGTCCTCTTATGAGTTATGGGACCAGCGAGATACACGGAAGCACTTTTCCCTCCCAGCGTGAGAAGCGATCCCAGTGCCTGGAGAGAGACAGAGAGAGGGAGAGAGAGAGAGAGAGAGGGAGAAAAAAAAATCTTTCATTAAGAATATGTCTCCCCTTGACCGAAGTGCAGGTCTCTCACACCGTTATTCGGGGGCAGGCATATCTCAAGCTGGTTATGGGGTAGTAAATTACATATTGACTGGCTTATTATGCTTATTCAATTTGCAGTGATCAAAAGTGCTATTGAAGTGTCAGGGCCCCTGCGCCTGGTCTGTATGACTGTGTGCCTGCCGTTCAGCGCTAATAAACCGCGAGGGGGGCTTATTTTGCCTGAGACCGTCTGAGAGATGAGGCGATGGTTTGGCCAGATTACAGGGGCTCATAGATACGAAGGTGACTGAATCTGCTGCCGGGCTGCCAGGGGCGCCCGGACTTTCAAATACATGCAGAGCAAAATTCACCTGCATGGGGGTGTTTGGTGTGCAACGCAAAATGTTGGGTCATGAAGAGCAGGAAGGAGAGAAACCTGCGGTACGGTCACATGACTGCTTCATGCCTGGGCTGGGCTTGGCGAGCGTCATTTGTACACGTCCTGTTATCCCTGCATTATGTTTTGCTGACATTTTACTGCTGTGTTTCATTGGACCCGTGCTCACTTGTTGGGGGGGGCGGGAGAGGGGTGAGGGGTGAAAGGGGACAAAGTGTCAGGGTAATTAATGACCCCCCTCCAGCCCAACCTAAGTCAAAGCGCACGCTGAGACAGACGAGCCCCTGGCAGATCTATACTGATGGATTGACTGACATCGAACCGGTGAGTGAACATATTCAAATGAACGAGGCTCACCCGTAACCCAGAGCAAGACGCTGGCATTGATAAATCTGCGGCGCTACGTCAACACCAGAGACTCTGGACTCATTCTTCAACACTCCGATACATTACCCACAATGCCCGTGCTTTAGATTTGATCTATAGGGGACAACGTGCAAGCAACAACAAAAAAATGACTGAGAGCTCACCTTCCAGAGAACAGTAGATAGACAAGAGATGAATGAATAACATGGGGTCATGACTTGGTTTGATTTTAAAACTTAGTTTCTCATGGCTTACACTGTCTTTGGCTGTGACTTAACTGCTGTTTCAACATTTACTGCAATTCACATTGCTGGGTATTATTTACAACAATCATGCCAGTACATTTTACAGCCACATCACACATAAAATGATTTTAAACAAGAACACCCTTTTCATTGCATTCTAACAACCCGTAGTTGGCCTCTTACACAGTAATACGCGACTGCACACCTACTTACCCGCCATCAAAATGCGCTATCAACAATTTCCAGCTGAGAGGTGTTTTTTTTTTTTTAACTGGGAGTGTGGCAGCGTAGTGAAGCTTTCCCGGTTCTCTCTCTCGCTGTGGCAGCTCGTTAGAGGGCCTGTTAATTGCGTCTGCGAGATGGAGCGGGGAGCGAGTCTCGTCTGGAGAGAGGACGACCTTCGCCACTGAGGCGGAGTCAATTAGAGTGCGGTTCAGGTGAGGCTCTTCAACCGAAAAAAAGGGGGGTAAGAAGCTACCCACTCTCAGGCCCCAATGGAGACTTGAGTGGCAATCAATTGATTCTCCTCCTTGTTGTTTCATAATGCGTTTTAGCCAGAGCTTGACTGTTGTTGATGGTCTGCGAATATTTCCCACATTCCAGATGGATGATCATTAAACATGTATGTGTTTAGTCTCTCTCTCTTTCTGTTTTTATCTAATTGTCTCCCTGCATTCTTACTCTACTGGCATCTGTGCCTTTCTTCCCTCTACTCCTGCAGGTACTGCACTATGTACCCAGTTTACACAATATTCTTCATAATCAAAGCAACTTCGGCCAGACCTACAGACTTGTGCGCTGTCTGAATGTATTCCTCGCTGTTTGATGCGGCTGTTTCCTCGTCTGTGTTCTTCGGGTTTTCCTTCGGAGTGCTTCTGTAGCCACTGTGACAGTCCCTCAGTTCTCGTCTCCAGCTCTTCAGCTGATGAATACAGTGACCTTCGGAAATCTGGACCCGAGAGCGGCTTGGCAATCTGGCCTTTGAATGCCAGCGGCGCTGCTATCCCCAAACAATTACTCCTTGTTGAGAGTGGCCGCTCTCAGGATCACATTGTGTTTCGAGCTCTGGTGTGGACTTCGCCATGCAGCAGCAGTGGGGAAATGATGGAGGCTGGTCATGACACAGGTGAACTGGTGATGCCTTGTGAGAGACCACAACGCCCCAGGACGTCAAAACGTTTGCACAGCCAGGGTAGCATAGTGGTAAGGCGCAGGGCTTGTAACTGAAAGGTTGCTGGTTCGATTCCCCGCTGGGGCACTGCTGCTGTCCCCTTGGGCAAGGTACTTAACCCACAATTGCCTCTGTAAATATCCAGCTGTATAAATGGATAACATGTAAATATTGTAACCTATGTGAGTCGCTCAGGATTAGAGTGTCTGCTAAATCACAATATATAGTGTAATGTTAATCATGGGTTAGTGTTGGTTGAGACTGAAGGAAGCAGTCCTAGAAACTATAGTGCCCCTCAATGACTGACTGACCGGCTTCCAGAGTAATAATGTTTCCGATGCATACAATTTTGCGACACAGAATATAATTATCACATTGGATTTTTTAAAAATCATCTTACATAAATATGAGGCGTCATTTACACTCCATGTAAATCAAGGTTTCATGCATCCATGCCATGATATGTTAGTATCCATATTAAAACAGGTGGTTTGAAACACCACCTTACTTACATCAGAACATTGCATGCGGTCAGCTTTTGCGGTCTGTCATACTGTGTGTACAGGTACAACTTGTGCACAGCCCCAAACCTACCCGTTAGTGTCTAACACGCCCCCATACCCTGGTGTCATCTATATCATAACTGAGCATCGGGTCCCAGAGATGAGCATCCGAGCTCAGAGGAGGAGCATGAGACGCTGGCGGTGGCAGGGACTGTCCTGAGACAGCCGCACTGTAACTTGTCAGACGGTCCCTGCCCTTACTTTGCAGCCTGTCCTCATGAATACCTCTGCTTCATTCCTGCAGAGGTGTCGACAGAGAGGGGGTGTCAAAGATGTGTAATACGAGATGTGGGTGTGACAGTCCAAAGGGGTGTGGGGAAGGGGGGAACTGGGCAGGCAGTACAGGGCATGGGCTAAGGGAGGGGACAGGGTGGGCCGGGGGCTTCAGTGCTATTGTTGCACATATAATATCAATATAAATCTGTGGCCAGTTTCTTTTTTTATTTTTAGTACCTCATCCCCTCTCTGCAATGCTCTATTAGACAAAATGTCCATCTGCCAATATATTCAAATGCACTGCAGAGGTTATTAACCTGCCCTTGGCAAAGAGGGTTTAGCTTCCCGGGCAAACGCCCCCATAAATTCCCGCCGAGGCAGTTTTATTAGGGGTAGTAAATAGAACACCCTGCCATATTTTATGACAGCCATCACTAACTCATTCTGATTCTTATTACTTCTCTGCTGTCTGGCTACTGGGAGCGGCCTCAGCCTGCCTCTCTCTCCCTCTGTGTGCGTGTGTTTATGCCTTATATACCCCGGATTGTAAAGGGATTTATTCCTGATGTAATTGCACATTTAACATGCACCACCGTATTGACTTCAACTGCTGTTCTCCCGCGCATAATAACAGGCAGATCTGCCAGCCAAATAGGGGGCGAAACGCATTAAATTTACATGTCGGTGACGGTGTGAGTGGAAGTGTGATTCGGAGGAAACGGCAGTGGGAGGAACGGTGTTGAATTACGAGTGTTATTGTGCCTCAGAGGAACGAGAGAGACCCTTCTGTCGGATGCAAAGGACATTATAGAGCTCGAATTTCGGAAACTCCGTTATGTTGTGTTGAAAGTGCAGTGATGGCAAAGTTGTGGAAAGCAGCTTTGCCATCACTGGAAAGCAACTGAACAGTGTTATTTACTGTGAGGGACGCAGTGCAGAAACTGTTTCTGTGGACATATGGAGCTCTGTGCTCCACGATACCTACAGGTGATTCAGTCTTGCAAAGTAAAGGGCTCTGCCTTTAGGGCTGTCCTTTTAGGCCTTAGGGCACTTTCACTGATGGTGTACCATCAGTCATAATATACATTACATTACATTATCCAGAGCAGCTGACACAGGTTTTATCCATAGGGCTGAATAGTTACTGAGGCAATTGTGGGTTAAGTACCTTTCCCAAGGGTATGTCAACAGTGGTGTTCCAGTGGGGAGTCAAGCCAGCAACCTGTTGGTTATAAGCCCTGCTCCTTACCACTATGCTACACTGCCACGCAACATGTTATCCATTTATACAGCTGGATATTTACAGAGACAACTGTGGTTTAAGTACCTTTGTCAAGGATAAAACAGCAGCAGCCCAGCAGGGATTTGAACCAGCAACCTCAGTTACAAGCCCTACTCCTTACCACTACACCACACTGTCGCTTTTCTTAGCTTTTGTGTTCCTTACCAGCACACCACTCTGCTACCATATAGTCAGCCACAATGTATCACTAGTGTTGAACTTACATGCTAATGTGACGATGGTGGGCAGGAAGGCACAGGTTGTCCCCCCGCAGCTGTCCCCCGGAGCGCAGGGCACTTTGCCCCCCCCCCGAGGCCGTCAGAGTATCGCCCTCAGCAGTGCCGTCAGGTGAGTCACTGAAATATTCTAACTTTATTGACACCGGTGCTGTTTGCGGCCGTAGGTTTCCGGGGCTCCGGGGACAGACAGGTGTAGGATTTGCAGGGGATCTCTCGCGTGCGTTCTGCCCTGCTCTGTCCATCGCGGGTGCCAGCTCTCATCAGGACGGGCCGGTCAGCAGGTGGGCAGGTTGCTGTGTGGCAGAGGGAATCTGACCAAACTGTCCTCCGACAGATCCGCCTGTCTGTACTGGGAGCCATCAGGAATAGACAGTCCAAATCGTAGGTGTCACATTGAATTCATGCAAGGCCAGTGTTTATGCTGGATTTTGCTCCTAACTCTTTTTTTTTCCCAGCCACATTTACTGTCTTAATTGGGGCAAACATGCACAATTTTTGGTCATATCCTCTGTGTTTTCTCCTTCAAAACCACACATCATAGCTATGTCCACATCCACATCCACGTGTGCCCTATAATACAAATATTTGGTTTATTAAATAAGTCATCAATGTAAATATGTACAGCTAATTAATGATATAGGCCAATGAATTAAAGGCCCTTTATTGGAGCAAAAACCAGAACACACATGAGCCATCTGGGACCTGAGTTTGACACTCTGTTTAAATTGAGTTCAGGTACCTGAGACAATTTCCACAAACAGTGGAACAACATCCGTAGTTGTGCATTTCTCAGCTAATTAAAATGTTCCCGGACTGGGAGTCGATATGGTAGTGGCCTGCAGCTCACTGACCTTTGACTTGTGGTTGTTCTTCTCCCCATTAAGCGTAATCGTGTTTACCTGCCCCTTGTCTCTGTTGAATCATCACTCCCATGGGGGACATGCATTATCTATGGGTAGTGTCAGATAAAGATTTCATCTTATTAAGCTTAATTTTATACTATACATGATTAATTCAGTTCTTCACTGGTGCTATTAATCATCGTTATAATCATAACTGATATAATCTTGGGTAGTACTACAGTCAGTGTAATGCTGTAATATTTTACACGAATGGTCTAAAAATACCGGTAATAATAATAGTCGCAATAGAACTACAAGTAATTATCTGTTATTGTAATTTTGTACTAATAAAGTTGAAAGTTGCTGAGCTTCTGTCTGCGGTGAATTCTAATTGGAGTGTTAATCACAAGCCAGATGGTAGCAATGCTGGAGAAACGATCCTTTCAGTGCAACAAAACAGCCGTTTAAAGAAGAAAAACAGCCAAATGCGCTCCAATACGGATTTTCAGAATATCCCCTCATCCTCCAAGTGCTGCAAATGGGCCGGGCGAATGGGGATGGATGGGTGGATTAGGGAGGCAGAAAGATAGTAGATCATCCAATATCGGGGAAGGCAGATGCAGGGAGTGGAAGCCCGCGACACAAAGAGGCAGATCTCCACCAGGGGATCAATTCCTGGTGCGCACTGTCACTTCCTGTGAAAAAGCTGATTTCATGGTGCATTTCTGAGAGCGCCGCCACAGAGCTGCTCTTGAGGAAAGACGGAGGGGGGGGAGGAGAGGGTGCTCTTACACGCACACACACACACAAACAGACACACACACACACAGACGCATGCATGCATGCACACACACACGAACACACGAATGCACACACACCTAAGCATGCACGCACACATACATAGCTACACACAGACACTCCACTCACACACACACACACACGCATACACATACACACAGACACACACACACACAGACACATGCATGCATGCACACACACACTTACACACAAATGCACACAGGTATGCATACAGGCACTTGCGTGTGCACACACACACACACACACACACACGAAACACACGTACGTGCAGGCACACACACATGCACGCACACACACGCGCACACACACGCACACAAACACCATAACCTACATCTGCGGAGCGCGGCCAATGCCCGCGTGTAAATTTTTAAAGAGGCTTAGCGGAGCTGGAAGCGGCCACTCTGCTGGCGGAGTTTCTCAGCCCGGGGGCCCCCGCGCCCCTCTCCCTCCCTCTTCACCCGGCGGAGCGCTCTCCTTATCGTCCGCCCGCACCCCTCCACAGGCCCGGCTGTGCTCCCCTCCCGTTCTGCCATCTTTATCCGGGGGGCTCTTGTTGGGGGGTGATAAGCCGACAGGCACCCCCAGCATCGATCCAGGACTCCCCTCTCCGCCCCCTCTGGAGTGTCTGAGGGAGAGAGGAGCGGTACCCCTGGCCGAACCCTCCTCGCCTATCGCCCGTTTCGCTGCCAGAACCAGGCAACTGCCCCCCCTCCGTCCCCCAATTTCACTCCTCTCCCTTCCATGTGTGAATACCATAATAAAGAGGTGAAATGCATTTTCTCTAGCAGACACATCTGCAAATGGTTAGCATAATGGGCCCAGGGGGACCCTAGACAAAGACAACACGGATGCTAAACCCTGCTCTGCCTCGCTGAATTCCTGCTTTTGTTTGGCCTGGTTTTACACGAGAGTCAACAGACGTCGATTTGCGATTGTATCTTTCTCTCTCTCTCTCTCTCTCTCTCTCTCTCTCTGTATCCCCCTCTCCCTTTCTGTCTTTCGCTTGAATGGCATTGTGAATGCTTGACAAACACCTAGGCGTGCATGATGCCATTATAATAAGTACCCTTCAACTAGGTGATTTCCTTATGTTCAATATTTCCGTCACTCTCTACATCGTAATAAT